TTTTAAATATATATATATATATGAAGCACTTATTAAATTAAACATTACATCTATCTTCAGGAATTTAACGGGTTAACACAATAAAATGAAGAATGCAAAACCCTTTTAAGTAGAATTTTAAAAAAAATAAATATTGGTGTTATCTAATGATAATTATCTGATTAATTATGATTATACAACTAATGATTAATTATATAATCATAATTAATCATATTATATACTAATTATCAGATCATAAGGTGCTGTTAGAAATTATATTCAATTTAATTGCAATTTTAGAAATTAGTTGTTAATTATAAAAAATATACCTAGTTTTATTTTCTTTTATTTACTGTACATTTTAATCGATAGAAATATACATGAACTATGTTATTACCAAATTGAAAACTTCATATGCTTAAAAAATAAAAATATAGACAGACGTAACAAAACAATAATGATTACAAAAAAAAAACGGTAAGTTGCCAATAGAAAAATGAAGATAAAAAAAAAGAGAAAGAAGGATGAAAAATCAAGGGGGAAAAAAGTTGGCTGATAGGTAAATAAGGGTAAAATGCATTTCCACGTGTAATGGTGAACTGGGGAGCAGCTAATATCGTTGACAAGGGAATCATCAGTATTCAAATTAATAAAATAAGTTTCCAGGGTGTCAAAAGGACAATATCATTGTTCATTTGAATTCTGATTCTCTTGTCAATGACAGTAGTTCCTCCCAACCTCCCCATAACGGGTGGAAATGCATTTTACTATGATTTGTCTGTCAAACACTGCTTTTTTTTTTCTCCTCTCTTGATCAGTTTTTCATCTTTTTTTTCTCTTGGCTGCGGTGGTATTGCTAGTTTTGTTTTTAACTTTCATTTTTTCCTTTTTCGTTGGCAACTTTCAATTTTTTTTTCTTTCCTAAAACATTTTTGTTCCGCTACGTCTGTCAGTCAAGTCATTGAAACGGGGGCATATTTTTGATGCGATTGAACATATCGACGGTCATTCCATTTAAGTATTACTTTGAAGCATATAAAGCTTTCAATCAGGAAATATTTCACCGTTTCAGTTTCTTATCATTATTTAATTTAAGAACAATGTTTGTACAATCTTACACTTCTACATATTTAAATTTTCTCTGCTGACAGATGTGGTCATAAGAAGCTCACATAATCACTACGACTCACATAATCAATATTATAGTTCCAATTATTTTTTCACGTTAATACATATTCTATTATGTTAATACATTTTTCGTTAAAATAACTTTTTGACAATATCATTAGAGATTTTCTAAAATAAATGTACAATTACAGATATTAAAGGACTTGTAATTCAATTCGGGAATTAAATTAACAGTATGTGTCAATAAGAACTTCCCAAAAATAATTATACTCAATATGCTATTATCATCTTAGATTCACTAAAAAATGCGCTACAATGTTCTAATCTGCAGTCCACTGGAATATATTCCGTAGCACAGGGGTTACCAATTTTTTTTCGGCTATTAAACCCAAAATAATCAAACTTCCATCGTCGGAACCCCGATTTTATAAATAAATTTTATTAACGTCATTGCAAACGTTATAACCTATAAAAGACTATTTTTAAATATTAAATTGGAGGTATTAAGATTTTTAATTGTTTTACTATAAATAATCTTAAAGTATGTTTATGTCTGATAGTTGAATTCGTAGTCCATGTGCTATATCATGTCTAGTTATAAATTTGGCTTTCGTACATATACAAAAGCTTGGTACATGTACATATGTCCGGTTGAAAATGGTAATTAGGGAAACTCATTTCTTTACCAAAGAATTTAGATATTTAATTTTGATTTTAATACTCATGCGATGTCTATAAACGTTTCTTTTTATAATTTGATCAACACATTATTATTATAAATATTATATTTTCTTTTATAAAATACCATTTCTATTTCATTG